CTGTCAGCTCAAAGCCTGGAGCCTGCTTCGGATTCTGTGTCTCCCTCTCTCTCTGCCCCTCCCCCGCTCATGCTCTGTCTCTCTCTCAGTCAAAAATAAATAAAACATTAAAAAAATTTTTTTTAATTAAAAAAAAGGCTGTATCTTCCTATATACATCATCAAAGCACTAGAATAAGCTTTTAGCTTGATGACATGGATATTTAGCAACTAAAATGATTACATATTTTTGTATTTCACACATATATATTTGGAATATAATATACAATAAGTGTTTGATGAATAAATGAATAAGTAAATGAATCCATCCATTCATCCCTACATCTCTCAGGTAAAACAAAACAAAACAAAACAAAACATCTAAGGTTCACTCAGACTAGCAGTTACGAGGAAGTGTTACCAGGAATAAACTATTTTAGCTAAGGACATACCATGTGCAAGAGAGAAAACCTGGCTAGGGATTAAGAGATGTGAGTTCTAGTCCTTGCTTATTAACTTTCTATTAATATTTAACTTGTATGGTCCCAGTTTCCCCATCTATGAAAATGCATTTATTAAAATCTTTCCATCATAGATGAGGAGACAAAATAATAGATATGAGAGAGAGAAGACTTTGGGGAAAAAAAATCAAAGTATACTATTAATAAAAGATAAACCAGTTTCTGATTTCATGCTCATAAAGGAGCTAGATTTATTGGAATGAAAAACAAACATTTTGAGAAGAAAAACAATTTCTCAGGCAACTAAATCCTCTGCTGCACTTTCTGCGAGAGGCTGAACACCACACCCCTTAATGAGGAGATGCTCCCAGGGACACCTAAGCAACTGCTCATGGAACCTGACCATGCTGAGTGGCTATCCTATTTTTCTCTTCCAAATGGATTATATGCCATAGGTATGTTTTAAAAAACATTTATTGAGGGGCATCTGGGTGGTTCAGTCAGTTAAGCGTCCGACTCTTGGTTTTGGCTCAGGTCATGATCTCACAGTTCCTGAGTTTGAGCACTGAGTCGGGCCTTGTGCTGACAGCGCGGAGCCTACTTGGGATTTCTCTCTCTCTCCCTCCCCAGCTTGATCTCTCTCTCTCTCTCAAAAAAATAAATAAATAAATAAAAATAAACATTACAAAAATTAAAAATAAACTTTGTTATATAATTTACTATAAAATTCACCCCTTTAAAGTGTGCAACTGAGTTGTTTTTAATATATTCATACAATTATATAATCATTGCCTCTATCCAATTTCAGAACATTTTCATTACCCTAAAAAGAAACTCTGTATCCATCAGCACTCACTCCTCCTTCTTCCCCTTTTCTCTCAGCCCTTGGCAACCATCAATCTATTTTTTGTCTCCATGGGTTTGCCTATTCTGAACACTTCATATTAAGTGGAATAATACAATATGTGGTCTTTTGTGACTGGCTTCTTTTACCATAAATATTTAATAATAACAGAGTTTTCATCCCAAAAGTAGTCCTCAAAAAAGAGGAGATGCTTTTCTTTGGAGACTTTATAAAGGCTTTCATAAGGGGGACATTCTCTCACTTTTACTTTGAATAAGAGTGGTATAAGCCAACATTTTAGAAACTCTGACTAGAGCCTAATTAATTATAACACTACATGGATACATAAGTGTCTTGTTTTTCCCTATTGTTCAATAAATATTTGAATGAAATATGAATGTGGAAAAAAAACAGTATTTCTATGTTCATATAGCTTATATAGAATCATTTCAAATATATTTATAAAATTAAATAGATTAAGTATTATAGATACATTACTATTTCATCTATTTTCCTAAGTGTGTCATTCAAAATGGATCTTCTCATTTGAAATATGAAGGAGATTATTTTATATTCAAAATTATTTTATATCTGAACTATGAACTTCCAGTATCATTCAAGTGTATGGTCAGATCTAATGATATTCAGGCCTAAAATAACAGACTTCTCTAGGATTTAAGTAAGTAGTTGGAAATCCAATTCTTAACAAATGTCTCAAGAGAAAATTGTACTTTTAAAGTACATATCAGGTAAAAATTGAGTGCAGTGATATTATTGATTTGAGAAAAGACATATTTGGGAACAAAGGGCTCTTAGGGGTTGCTGCTGACTCCCTCACTTCACTGATGAAATAACTGAGGCTCACAGAGGCTACATGACTTTCCCAAGATCATCTGGCATGAGGGCTTACTGTGCTCAGTGCTTCATGTGAGTTATTTCTTAGTGTTCCCATCAACCCTAATCATGCCCCACGTTAAAGCTGAGGTTTATAGAGGTTAAATAACTTGGTTAAAGCCATACAGCTAGCACAGGGTAGAAATGGGATTCCATTCAGGTCTCTCTGGCGTCAGAACCAGAGGGCTCTTAACAATTTGCTAAGTGAGTCTTCAGCTTATGTACATATAATAAGCTGAAGCTCTTTACAAGAGCCCTTTTCTTGGAATCACATGGTTTAGAAAAGCATTGAGCCAGGTTTGGCATTTCTAAACCTAATTGGAGCAGAAGAAAACATCATTAGAAATTAGCAAAACATCGACAAGAGAGAAAGGGGAAAGAGAGCAGACCTAAAATCATTTTTGAAGTCATAAGTAATCTGACAAGAGGCATGTTATTCAAATGAAATCAATATTACCTTGTTAATTCTCTCAGTCGGGTCACCTCAGCGTCACGCTGACGTAATGTTATTCCCAATATTTGATTTTCCTTTTCAGCAGCTTCTAACTTAAACCGGGAGCTTTTCACATTGACTAAGGCTTCCTCCAATTCTGAAACCACAATAAAATTTCAGTTTCCTTTTCCTTTTTAAAAAATGTGACCACAACTATAGTTCAAATACATACCAATTTTTATTCTTGTTGTCTCAATGTCAAATTGCTGTTTATTTTCAAGTAAAGTTTGCTCTTTCTCTTTAAATATACCAGCAAATTTTTTGTTTTCATCTTTCTGATTTTCAATTACTTTTAAAAGTTCTTCATTTTTATTCTGTAGTAATTCCTGGCTCTTCAGTGACTCCTGTAATTGGTTTTGCAGGGACTTGTTCAATGACTGAAGAGAAAACACTGCAAGACAAAACAGATCAAATCAACGTTTCCCTAATTTTAAAAGCACAAACCTGAAAAAGATCTGTGTATAAAAAGGAAAAGATCTGGAACTTATTGATTTGTTTAACCATTGTATGTTTGAGCAGTTCCACGTAAATATTAAATATATTTCTAAAATTTGATGCAGAGATCATACCTTTCTTCTCCAACTGATATTTTGAGCATTAAGATTTTTTTTTTACCTTTGTTAATGAAAGAATAATACATGCACAAAGTAAAAAGAATTCAAACACGACGAAATACCAATTACCAAATTATTCTCAGTGAAGAATCTCCCTTCCCACCCCACCTCCACTCTCCTCCCAAAGGCAACCACAATTAACTTTGGTATCTTTCTGGAAAAACACTTGTGCATATAACATATATATTTAAACAGAGATGAATAACACTTTTTCTCCCATAAGATTAATATGTAATTAGCATATAGATCTATCACATTCTTTTTAATGTCTGTAAAAGTATACGGCACCATTCATTTAATAAATACAGCCTTGAGTGGAGACTTACTATGTGTGAGGCACGGAATTAGAACTTGGACATACAGTAATGAATAGCAGAGACATAGCTGGTGCTCTCAAAGAGCTGATAACAAACAAGTAATCATAAATAGCGATAAATGCTTTCAAGAAAACAATAAGGCAAATGGTCAGAGACTAAAAAGATATAAGCTATTTAGAATGGCAACTACCAATCTCCTCATTTCCCTGTTTGCCCCTCTCTCCCACATATCTCCACCCCCACTGTTTATTCATAGTGGAATCAGAGTGACTTTTTCCAAGATTACTCTGGTAAAGATGAACACTTTTATGAAGTGTGTGTTCTGTTGGGTACTCGTATTTTTCTTATTGCTTTGTAAGAGCTATTTATATATTAAGAAAATTAAGCCTTTGTTATATCATGTATTATGAAAAAATTGTCTCCATTTTATTAATGCACTTTGAATGTGTTTACAATTTTGCCATGCAGAAAATGACAAAAAATTCTGAGAACAAATCTTATCAGTCTTTTCCTTTGTGTCATCTGAGTTTTGTCAAGTTTAGGAAAAGATCCCAAGAATAAAAAAACAAAGAAACAAATTGTTCTAATCTTTTCCTTGTTAATAGTAGTTTTTTTCTTTTTCCTAATATTTTAAGCTTTAGGATCCATAAGCACAATTTGGCAATATCTGTCAAAATTCGACTGACTCATTAATTCTACAGCTATTATCTACAAAATGCTCACACATGTGCACAAAGACACACGTACAAGATTTTCACTGTACCACTGTTTGCACTGGGAAAATACCTAGATAGCTATCATCAGAGGACTTCAAATGCATAATGCTAGAAGCAACATAAGCAGAATATTCAAATAGTTCTTAAACAGAATCTATGTATTTTGATACAGAAAAATGCGCACTACAGGTTTTACTGGAAGGGGGAGCTAAGATGGCAGCATAGCAGGAGGACCCTAGGCCTGCCTTATCCCTCGAACATAGCTGAGTAACTATCAAATCATTCTGAATACACAAGAAATTGACCTGAGGACTGACAGAACAAACTGTACAACTGGAGGGAGAAAAGAGGCCACATGGAGGAAGGTAAGAAGTGCAGAGACATGGTTTGGGGGAGAAACAGATCACGGGTGCTATGGAAGCAAAGGAGCCCTTACATACAAGGAGAACACTTTCACAAAGCCATTGGCTGGGAAAACGAGACGGGCTGATTTTCATGAGTTTTTGCAATCAGTGGGGCACAAAGACTGGAGTTTTAGAGGTCTACCAGCTTGGCTGGGAAGAGAGACCTGAGGGGGCTGCCCTACTCCTGGAAAGAAGGCAGGCAAGCAACCCCGGGGCAAATGGCATGATCTGGGGATCACCTAAGGCGCATTGGGAGAGACGGTTCCTACTTCTTGGAGCACATCTGTGAGAGGTGACGTTGCTTCTCCCGGGACAAAAGAGCTGGTGGGTGCCATTTCTCTCCCTTGCCCTCAGCATAGGTACAGACACCTGCTGAGGGAAGCTAACCTGGATACCGGCTGTTTAGCCTGCTCCAAATCCCATGCCCCTGAGCTCCAGCACAACTGCCCTTCTCAGTCAAATCTGCATCACCCCCAGCGAGGCAAGACTCTCACCCTGAAGACCAGTGCAGGCCCCCCTCCACAGCACTTCCTTGAAGTTTGGAATTTTAAAAGTCAGCAGGTTTGGCTGGGATAGAGACCAAAGTGCACTGTGCTGCCCCAGACAGGCAAGCAAACTACAGACAAGCAGTGTGAAAACAGTGATCTGAAAAACACCTGAGAGGTACAAGGGGAAATCACTCACTCTTCTGGGAGTGCTTCTCTGAGAGCACCAAGCACCGAGTACCCTCTCCAGGACAAAGGAGCTGGCTGGAGCCATTTCCTTCCTCTACCCATAGGCATAAACCAACTTCAAAAAAAAAAAAAAAAAAAAAAAAAAAAAAAAAAAAAAAGCACAGCCCCAACACTGGCTCCTTAATCTGCTTACACGAAGACCTGTCCTCCTGTGCTCTGTTTGTACTGCTTTTCTCAGGCAAGTTTAAGGACCAGTGCAGTAGGCCCTTCCCCAAGAACACCAGCACAAACCCCTGCACACATCAGGTCTACTGACCATAGAGTTCTGCAAAGCATCAGTTCTAGTGGAAGTAGAATCAAGTCTCATTTAAGAAGGAGGCCAGACACCTAGATAAAACTGACCACACTCTAGCCAAGGTCCAAGCACTGCCCACTGCAGGTAAGGAGAACCTCTGCAGAGGACTGACCTAAGGGATAGAGCAGCCAAAACACATTAGTGGAGTGCATGTAGCACACACCAGAGGCACTCCCTGAAGCACCAGGCCCTACATACTATATAACCTCTTCATAAAGTCATTACTCTCAGGAGCAGGAAACACAACAGGCTTTTCTAACACACAGAAGAAGACAGAGACCTAGACAAAATGCCAAGATGGAGGAATTCATCCCAAAAGAAATAACAAGAAATGGTCATGGCTAGAAATCTAATTGAAACAGATATAAGTAATAAGACTGATGGAGATTTTAAAATAACAGTCATAAGGATACTCCCCGGGCTTGAGAACAGCATGGAAGATATCAGGGAAACCCTTACTACAGAAATAAGAGTTAAAAAACAATCAGACAGATATGAAAAATGCAATAACTGAGATTCGAAACAACCTGGATGTAATGACCACAAGGATGGAAGGATGAATAAGTGATACAGCAGATAGAATTATGGAAAATAATTGGGCTGCCTGGGTGGCTCAGTCAGTTAAGCATCCGACTCTTGATCTGGGCTCAGGTCACGATCTCATGGTTCGTGAGTTTGAGCCCCACATCAGGCTCTATGCTGTCAGCTTGGGATTCTGTCTCTTCCTTTCTCTGCCCCTCTCCTGCTTGCACACCCACGTTCTCCCTCAAAACAAATAAACAAAAACTTAAAAAAAAAAAGAATTATGGAAAACAATGAAGCTGAACAAAAGAACGAAGAATGATGAATCATGAGAGTAGACTTGGGGAACTCAGTGACTCCATTAAATGTAGTAACATTTGCATCGTAGGAGTCCCAGAAGAAAAAGAGAGAGAAAAGGGGAAAGAAAGTTTATTTGAGGAAATAACAGCTGAAAACTTCCCTAATCTGAGGAAGGAAACAGACATCCAAATCCAGGAGTTAGAGAGAACTGCTAACAAAATCAACAAAAGCAGGCCAACACCAAGACATATTATATTTAAATTTGCAAAATATAGTGATAAAGAAAAAAATCTAAAACCAGTAGGACAAAAAAGTCCCTAACTTACAAGGGAAGACCCATAAGGTTAGCTGTAGATCTCTCCACAGATCTCTCCCTTGGCAAGCCAGAAGGGAGTGGCATGATACATTCTACATGCTGAATGGGAAAAATCTGAAGCCAAGAATACTCTATCCAGCAAGGTTGTCATTCAGAATAGAATGAGTTTCCCAGACAAACAAAAACTAAAGGAGTTCATGAACACTAAACCAGTCCTGCAAAAATATTGAAGGGGCTTCTTTGAGTGGGAAGGACAGATCAAAAGTGGCAAAGACTAGAAAGGAACAGAAAATCTCTAGAAACAATGATAAAACAAGCAATAAAATGGCACTAAATACATATCTATCAATAATTACTCTGAATGTAAATGGACTAAATGTTCTAATCAAGACATAGAGTGTCAGAATGGACTAAAAAAAAAAAAAAAAAAAAAAAAAAAAAAAAAAAAGACACATCTATATGCTGCCTACAAGAGACTCATTTTAGACCTAAAGACACCTGCAGATTGAAAGTGAGGGGATGGAGAAAGATCTATCATGCAAATGGACATTAAAATAAGCTGGAGTAGCAATACTTCTACCAGACCAACTAGATTTTAAAACAAAGACTGTAACAAGAGATGAAGAAGGGCACTATATCATGATAAAGGGGACTATCCAACAAGATCTAACAATTATAAATATTTATGCCCCCAAATTGAGAGAACCCAAACATATAAAACAATTAATAACAAACATAAAGGAACTCATTGATAGTAATACAATAATAGTAAGGGACTTTAACACCCCACTTACACCAATGAACAGATCATCTAAGAAGAAAATCAACAAGGAAACAATGGCTTTGAAAGACACCAGACCAGACTGATTTAACAGATATATTCAGAATATTTCATCCTAAAGCAGCAGAATAGACATTCTTTTTGAGTGCACATGGGTCAGTCAGAATAGATTACATACTAGGTCACAAATCAGTGTAAGTACAAAGATTGAGATCTTGAATAAATGCATATTTCACAGCCACAATATATGAAACTTGAAGTCAACCACAAGAAAAAATTTGGGAAGACCACAAATATAAGGAGGTTAAACAAATGCTACTAAAGAATGAATGGGTCAAGCAGGAAATTAAAGAAGAAATAAAAAAATACATGGAAACAAATGAAAATGAAAACATGATGGTCTAAAACCTTTGGGATGCAGCAAAAGTGGTCATAAGAGGGAAGTATATAGCAATACAGGCCTACCTCAAGAAGGAAGAAAATTCTCAAATAAACAACCTAACCTTACACCTGAAGGAGCTAAAAACAACAACAACAACAAAAAATGAATCCTAAGGCCAGCAAAAGAAGGGAAATAATAAAGAATAGAGTAGAAATAAGTGATAAAGAAACTGGAAAAAAAAAAACCCAAAACCAGAACAAATCAATGAAACCAGGAGCTGGTTCTTTGAAAAAATTAATAAACTTGGTAAATCCCTAGCCAGACTTATCAAAACAAAAGAGAAAGGACCCAAATAAACAAAATCATAAATGAGAGAAGAGAAATAACAACAAATATCACAGAAATACAAATAATTATAAAAGAATATTATGAAAAACTATATGCCAACAAATTAAGACAATCTGGAAGAAATGGTAAGTTCCTAGAAACATATAAACTACCAAAACTGAAACAGGAAGAAATAGAAAACTAGAACAGACCGATACCAGCAAAGAAACTGGATCAGCAATAAAAAATCTCCCAAAAAGCAAAAGTCCAGGGCAAGAGGGCTTCACAGGCAAATTCTAGCAAACATTTAAAGTTATAAATTTAATAGTTATAAATATATATAATATAACTATAAATATAAATTTAAATTTATAAAAAGACTTAATACCTATTCTTCTTAAACTATTCTAAAAAATAGAAAAGGAAAGAAAACTTCCAAACTCATTCTATGGGGCCAGCATTACCCTGATTCCAAAACCAGACAAAGACTCCACTAAAACAAAGAACTACAGGCCAGTATCCCTGATGAAGATGGCTGCAAAAATTCTCAACACATTGCTAGCAAATCAAATCCAACAGTACATTAAAAGAATCATTCACCATCATCAAGTGGGATTTATTCCTGGGATGCAATATTTGCAAATCAACCAATGTGATACATCACATTAAGAAGAGAAAGGATAAGAACCATATGATCCTCTCAATAGATGCAGAGAAAGCATTAGACAAAGTACAATATCCATTCATAATAAAAACTCTCAACAAAGTATAGATGGAGGGAACATACCTCAACATAATAAAGGCCATATACAAAAGAACCCACAGCTGATATCATCCTCAATGGGGAAAAACTGCAAGCTTTTCCTCTATATAGTCAGGAACAAGACAGGAACAAGTCCACTCTCACCCTGTTATTTAACATAATACTAGAAGTCCTAGCCTCAGCAATCAGACAACACGAAAAAATAAAGGCATCCAAATCAGCAAGGAAGAAGTCAAACTCTCACTATTTGTAGATGACGTTGATACTCTATGTAGAAAACCCAAAAGACCACCAAAAAAATTGCTAGAACTGATACATGAATTCAGTAAAGTCTCAGGATACAAAATCAATGTACGGTAATCTGTTGTACTTCTATACACCAACAATGAAACAGCCAAAAGAGAAATCAAGGACTCGATCCCATTTATAATTGCACCAAAAACCGTAAGATACCTAGGAATAAACCTAACCAAAGAGGTTAAAGATTTGTATTCTGAAAACTATAAAACACTAATGAAGGAAATTCAAGACAACACAAAGCAATGGAAAAACATTCCATGTTCATGGATTGGAAGAATAAATATTGTTAAAATGTCTATACTACCCAAAGCAATCTACACGTTTAATGCAATGCCTATCAAAATACCACCAGCATTTTTCACAGAGCTAGAACAAAAAATCCTAAAATTTGTATGGAACCACAAAAGACCCCGAATAGCCAAAGCAAAGCAAAGCAAAGCAAAGCAAATGCAAAGCAAAGCAAAGAGGAGGCATCACAACTTCAGACTTGAAGTTATATTACAAAGCTGTAGTGATCACAACAGTATGATACTGGCAGAAAAACAACACAAAGATCGATGGAACAGAATAAAAAACCCAGGAATAAACCCACAACTGTACGGTCAACTAATCTTCAACAAAGCAAGAAAGAATATCCAATGAAAAAAAGTCTCTTCAACAAATGGCATTGGCAAAACTGGACAGCAACATGCAAAAGAATGGAACTGGACTGCTTTCTTACATCATACACAAAAATAAATTCAAAACGGATGAAAGACCTAAATGTGAGACAGGAAACCATCAAAATCCTAGAGGAGAACATAGGCAGTAACCTCTTTAACATCAGCCATGGCAACTTCTTACTATATATGTCTTCTGAGGCAAGTGAAACAAAAGCAAAAATAAACTATTGGGACTACTTCAAAATAAAAAGCTTCTGTACAGTGAAGGAACAATCAACAAAACTAAAAAGCAACTTACACAGTGGGAGAAGATATCTGCAAATGACATATTGGTTAAAGGATTAGTATCCAAAATACATAAAGAACTCACAAAATTGAACACCCAAAAAACAAATAATCCACTTAAAAAATGGGCAGAAGAAATGAGTAGACATTTTTCCAAAGATGACATACAGATGGCTAACAGAAAAGATGCTCAACATCACTCATCATCAGGAAAATACAAATCAAAACTATAATGAGAGCGGTGCCTGGTCAGTTAAGCTTCTGACTGTTGATTTCAGCTCAGGTTGTTCTCTCAATGTTTTGGGAGTTCGAGCCCCACATGGGGCCCCATGCTGAGAGTGCAGAGTCTGTTTGGGATTCTCTCTCTCCCTTTTTCTCTGCCCCTCCCCTGCTCACACATGCACACTCTCTTTCTCTCTCTCAAAATAGATTTAAAAAACCCAATGAGGTATCACCTCACACCTGTCAGAATGGCTAAAATGAACCACACAGGAAACAGGTGTTGGTGAGGTTGCAGAGAAAGGGGAACACTCTTACACTGTTGGTGGGAATGCAAACAGGTGCAGCCTATCTGGAAAACAGTATGGAGGTTCTTCAACGAGTTAAAAATAAAGCCAAGAGTGCCTGGGTGGCTCAGTTCGTTAAGCACCCACTTCGGCTCAGGTCATGATCTCATGGTTCATGGGTTTGAACCCCACATCAGGCTCTGTGCTGACAGTTCGGAGACTGGAGCCTGCTTCCGATTTTGTGTCTCCCTCTTTCTTTGCCCCTCCCCCACTTGCACTCTGTTTCTCTTTCTCTCAAAAATAAAAATAAACATTAAAAAAAATATAAATAAATAAAATAAAACTATCCTATGATCCAGCAACTGCACTACTATGTATTAACCCAAAAGATACAAAAATACCGATTCAAAGAGATACATGCACTCTGTTGTTTACAGCAGCCTTATCAACAACAGCCAAATTATGGAAAAAGCCCAAATGGCCATCTACTGATGAATGGATAAAGAAGATGCGGTGTGTGTGTATGTATACACAATGGAATATTACTCAGCCATAAAAAAGAATAAAATCTTGCATTTGCAATGATGTGGATGGAGCCAGAGAGTATCAATGATAAACAAAGTAAATCGGTCAGAGAGAGAAAATACCATATGATTTCACTCATATGTGGAATTTAATAAACAAAACAGATGAACATAGGAAAAAAAGGGAGGCAAACCAGGAAACAGACTCTTAACAATAGAGAACAAACTAAGGGTTACTGGAGGAGAGGCAGGTGGGAGAATGGGTTAAATTGGTGATGGGTATTCAGGAGGGCACTTGTTGTGATGAGCACTGGGTATTGTATGTAAGTGATGAATCACTAAATTTTATATCTGAAACTAACAATACACTGTATACTAACAAACTGGAATTTAAATAAAAACCTGAACAAGAAAGGAAAAAAAAGAAAAATGCTCCCTACATGTTAAGTGAATAAATGCAAGCTACAGAAGAGCATATCGAGTGTAATCTCATTTTTAAAAAAGAAAAAAATAAAATACATATATAGTTCTATTAGTGCCTGGCATACAGTAGGAACTCAGTATTTATGAAACACATTAATTCTATATGAACAGAAGACATGTGAAAGGAAGTACAGCCTTTTAAAAAAGAAATAGGGGTGTATTATTGGGACATAATAGCACAGATCTTTTATTTTTGTTTCTGTGCTATTTTAATTTTTAATAAGGGTATTATTCCTATTTTTTCAAATGTAGATTAAAAGAAAGTCCTCTTATGACAAAATAATTAAGAAAGCTCAATTCTTTATCAGTATTTCCAGAACCACAAAGAATTTATCATCAGTTCTTAAAGTTCTTTTACCTACATTCAAGGTTGCATTCCAGAGAACCAGGTGCCTTTTGAGTTTTTTCTTGTTCTCTAAGTTGTCGGTTTAAAATTCTCAGTTGCCTAAACGAAATAATAAAGAAACATGATTCCCAAACTCATTTAACAGTGTACATCTAACAGCCTGTTAAAAAGGATAACACCTCCCCTCTCCTAACCATCAGTTTCTTCTCTGTAATTGAGAGTCTGTTTTTTGATTTGTCTCTTTTTCTCTCTTTGCTCATTTGTTTCTTAAATTCCACATGAGTGAGATCATATGGTATTTGTCTTCCTCTGACTGACTTATTTCGCTCAGGGGTGGGGATTAAAGAGTACACTGATGTTGAAAAAAAAGATTAAAACAATAAAAAATAAAAAAGAGCATGAAAGACAGTACCCACTTAGGATAGCAGAAGTCCATCTCATCCCCAGAACAAAAGACAAAAACCAAATAAACAAAACAACAAAACCACATCACTGCTACTATGTATAGAGCTTTTTTTTTTTTTTAATGTGATATTTTTGAAAAGATTGCCTGGGACAACATTAAACTCTCCCCTCACAAGAAAAAGGCTGACTTTTCTCTTATTCTTCTTTTTTCCTTTTTTTGTTCTCTCAATTATTTCTTTGTCTTTTTTTTTTTTTTTTTTTTTTTTTTTTCCGTTTCCTATCTCCTCTTGCTATTTTCTTCTTCTGTCTTCCTTCTCTGTATTTTCATTACTGTAGTAACAATGTACTCTTTAAAAGATCTAACTATGAACTAGAACACCTACAGGGACTGACTGTTATCAGACATGTATTTGCTTGGTCTGTCATACATTGAAAAAATTGGGAAATGCAAATCTATGTTTCTAATAATTTCTTTATTAGATGGAAAATGTAATGGCCTTATTTTAAAAGACAGAATGCTAAGAAGCAGCAACTTTGCCCTACAGTGAACTTCACAATGTGTAGTCCCCTCACAAATAGGAACATACAAGAGGAACTACAAAAATGTTTACTTCTAGGAAGTTAATGCTGAAAAAATGTTGTCTCTATTATCTTTCCAAAATTAATTACCTGAACATATTCTGTATTAAAATATTTATTTTTGTTACTGAATCTAAAATTATAGTGCTCTACCTCACATCACTTGCATGTATTAATTCCAGATAGATGAAAGAGGTATACAGAAAATATACAAACAAACAAGAGCAACTATACAAGCTTTAGGTAGAAATCTACATAATCTTGAAGTGGGGAAGGCATTTCTAAGCAAGATTCGAAACCCAGCAACCATCAAGGAAAAGAATAAAAGATTTAACAGTATCAAAATTTAAAACTTGTTCTAGAATTAACATTCTGGAAGACAATACCTGCCACATATATAAAAGACAAAAGATCCATAACACTTAAAGAGCTCCTGCAAATCGGTAAGAAAGGCAATAAAAACGGGCAATTCACATAAGAAATAGAAATGGCTTATAAGCATATGAAAAATGCTCAGCGTCACTAATATGAAGAAATGCAAATTTAAAACAGGAGATATTTTATAGCCACAGGATTGACAAAAATGAGAAGAAATAACATTATTTGTTGGTGAGGCAAATTAATTCTCTCGACTGGTGAGAGCCTAACTGATATAACCAATTGAACGGCAATTTGACAGTATCCAATGTGATACTGTGAAAATGTATTATCTTTAATGTGAAATGTTAATGTGAAATGTGAAATGTTTATTATCTTTAACAAAATAATTCTAACTCTAAGTTATCTAGCCTAGAAATATAATTGAGCCTTGAATAACATGTGTTTCAACTGTGCAGGTCTACTTATCCACAGATTTTTGATAAACACAGTGCAGTACTGTTAATGTATTTTTTCTTCCTTATGATTTTCTTAATATTTTCTTTTTTCTAGCTTACTTTATTGCAAAAATATAGTACATAATACATATAACATACAAAATCTATGTTAGTCAACAATACATTCAATGTTATTGATAAGGCTTCTGGTCAATAGTAGGTTATTAGAAGTTAAGTTTTGGGGGAATCAAAAGTTACACACAGATTTTTTACTTTGTAGGGTGTAAGGACCCCTAACTCTTGCATTGCTCAAGGGTCAACGGTAGTACATGTGCAAAAGCATCTACAATCTTTAGATATATACAAAGATGTTCACAATAGCAATATTTAATAGCGAGAAGTTAGAAATAACTTAAAATGCCACATAAATTATGGTACATCCATAATAAGAAATACTAATACACAGGTGTTGTTTTTAAAAAGAGATATCTACATGTACTGACATGGAAATATCTTCCAGACACATTATAAAATGAAAAAAAGCAAGCTACAGAAGAACAACAGTATAATACAATCCCATGTTTGTTTCAATACAATTCTACTTTTCTGAAATTTCCCCTTTATAACACAGAGTGAGAATCTAGAAAAGGCAACAGAGACTGGCAATCTGCAACTCCAACTAGAATGCTGCTTTCGGTATTTTCTAGGAAAACAGAAGGTACTGAGGTCCTCTTACACACCAAGTATGTGACAGAAGGTTTGCTTGACAATCTTTTTGTACATCCATGGTCAATTTCTTCTCTTCTTCCCCTATATGGCCAACCTAAACTCTCATCCCTCACTGTAAGCCTGTCATTCCTATCCTCCAACTCTCAGTAGGATACTTTCCTGTTTTCACTAAAAATAATATGGCTTGGGGACAAACTGTTATCCTTCTGCCCAGGGTGTACAAATGTATCCATATATATACACTAATCCTCACCCCTTTCTTCTAGTCTTAGAGAAGGGGGACCTCATCAACTTCCTCGATCCCATTTCTTCCTCTACCTTAAAGGACTCTGCTCCTATTCCACGCCTTTTCTCTTCTGCACCTACAGCTTCTCACTCTTTACTGGCTCATGTGCCTCAGCTGAGATTAACAAAACAGCCCCCATATTTAAGAAGATATTCCCTCCAACCCAAGTGTACAATTACCTATTCTCCTTCCCTCTCATTCTCAGCTTTCAAAGCCAGACTTTTTTTTTTTCAGTATATGAAGTTTATTGTCATATTGGTTTCCATACAACACCCAGTGCTCATCCCAAAAGGTGCCCTCCTCAATACCCATCACCCATTCTCCCCTCCCTCCCACCCACCATCAACCCTCAGTTTGTTCTCAGTTTTTAAGAGTCTCTTATGCTTTGGCTCTCTCCCAATCTAACCTCTTTTTTTTTTGTCCTTCCCCTCCCCCATGAGTTTCTGTTAAGTTTCTCAGGATCCACATAAGAGTGAAACCATATGGTATCTGTCTTTCTCTGTAAAAGCCAGACTTTTAAAACATAATTGATCTAGGGGCACCTGGAGTGGCTCACTCGGTTGGGTGTCCGACTTCGGCTCAGGTCATGATCTCACAGTTCGTGAGTTCAAGCCCTACATCGGGCTCTGTGCTAACAGCTCAGAGCCTGGAGCCTGCTTCGGATTCTGTCTCCATCTCTCTCCTCCCCTCCCCCGCTCACACTCTGTCTCTCTCAAAAATAAACAAACATTAAAAAAATAAAACATGATTATTCTATAAAAAATGATATGACAAAAAATAATCTTTTTAAAATAGTTGCACGTTTTTAGCAAATATTATCTATTATATTTTCATATACTTGATTTAAACAAAGGAAAAGAACTGCTGACATTTAGGCAAATATTTCTTTTTTCAGTGTACTCATTGTTTTTAAATATAGCTTTATTAAAATAAAACATATTAAATTTTTTTTTTTAAGTTTATTTATTTTTGGGACAGAGAGAGACAGAGCATGAACGGGGGAGGGGCAGAGAGAGAGGGAGACACAGAATCGGAAACAGGCTCCAGGCTCTGAGCCATCAGCCCAGAGCCTGATGCGGGGCTCGAACTCACGGACCGCGAGATCGTGACCTGGCTGAAGTCAGATGCTTAACCGACTGCGCCACCCAGGCGCCCCTAAAATAAAACATATTAAACTGCACATATGTGAAGTATATAATTTGATTATACTAACATATGATGTGGTGGAACCATCACCACAATTACTATATTCATCACACCCCAAAATTTCCACATGCTCCATTTCATAATATCCCCTTCCCAAACAACCACTAATTTATAAATTAGTTTGCATTTTCTAGAATTTTATATTATATATTTATATAGTATACAATTATATTAGCTTTTTTTGTTTTTTGGTTTTTTTTTTTTTTTTTGAGAGAGAAAGAGCATGAGCAGGGGAGGAACAGAGAAACAGGGAGAGAGAGGATCTCAAGCAGGCTCCATGCCCAGCATGGAGCCCCATGTGGGGCTCGATCCCATGACTGAGATCATGACCTGAACTGACATCGAGTTGGATGCTTAACCAACTAAGCCACCCAGGCACCCCTACAATTATATTGTAAATGGAATCATATGATACATACTTATCCCGCCTTCTTTCATTCAGCATAATGATTTTGAGACTCATCCATGCTGTTGCACATATCAATAGTTCTTTCCTTTCCACTATTGAATGGTATTCTATTGTGTGAACATACCACCATCTGTTTATCCATTCACCTGCTAACAGACATTTAGCTTGTTTCCTTATGGACATTCACAAGTAAGCGTTTATGTGGACATATGCTTTTACTTCTCTGAATACATACCTAAGAACGAAATGACTGGATCATATGGTTTATGTTTAATTTCTAAGAAACTACCAAACTATTTTCCAAAGTATTTGCACCATTTTATATTCCCACCAGTAAATTATGCAAGTGCCAGTTCCTCCACATCCTTACTCACATCTGGTATAGTCTTTTGAATTTTTAGCCATTCTAATGGATATGTAGTGTTATCTCTTCATGGTTTTAGTTTGCATTTTCCTAATGATTAATGATGAGATACTTTCATATGTGTATTTGATATCCATCTATCTTCTTTGATGTAGTGTCCATTATAATACTTTGCCAGTTTTTTGAGTTGTAACAGTTCTTCATATGTCCTATAAGTCCTTCATTAAACATATTGCAAATATTCTCTGTTGTTTGCCTCTTTACTTTTAGTAATAGTGTCTTTTGAAGAGCAAATTTTATATTTTG